CCCTCACCGCGCGAAGTGACGCGACCTAGAAATGCGCTTCAAACTGCAGGTTGGAGAAGAGACACAATAGTGGAGGGCAGGCCATCAGCTTGTCTCTAAAGGCGTGGTCGAGGATCTCGCCTGCCTCTTGCCTCCACCGCCATTCCCCGAATTGTGTGCCAGCTGTGCCGTGCGATCTTTTCAATGCTCACTGCAAATTGCTCCCGCTGAGTCTTATGATGTCTGCGGTTCCCTTGCCGTGCACAGGACAAGTGCGTTCCTGCGGTATCGGTGATTTCACTCTGGAAGGGCTTGCCGATGGTCTCAATTATTACGCGCGAAGCCTCGAATCTACGGGCAAGATCTTCGTTCATGCATTTCCAGACGCGCTGGCGGCCTGCCCTCCGCCTCCATATCTGCTCTCCAACCTGCAGTCTAAAAGCCTGTCTCCAATTCCTTGCCACTTGGTGCAGTGGGAGCCAACGCAAGGTGACATGGTCCAGAGCCTAAAAATAGGCGGTTTTGGCGCCACATTCAAAAACTGGGGTGCTTCCAGAAACGTGGGGTCGGTTTAGAATGACACTGGAGATTGGCTACTGAGCTGATTGATACAAAACTTTGGGAGCACAAACTATATCCAAATTAAAATATTGCAACAAATTTTGGTGACATTCTGAACGTTTCAGTGTGTTTTCTAAGGCAAAATTTGGGACGGAGGGAGTAGAAACAGAAAGTGGAAAGTGGATACAGACAAAAGCTCATGGGAATTAGACCATGGGAATTAGGCCATGGGAATTAGACAGGGGAAGTAGAGAACGAAAATAGAGGAAAGAAAGCGAATTGAAATGAAACGGAGGGGGCATCGCAGGATCATCTCCTGTTGGATTTTGAGCTCATGCATAGCGCCGCAGGCAAGGTTTGTTGTTCATCGTTAGGCGTTTGCCCAGTTCACGTTATCAATTAGTAAACAGCGTAGTTTGAGATGGATCCTAATAAATCAGACTAAGCTAACTCAATTTTATAGTGGAATTAAGAAGCATTCCCTACATTAACAGTGATGCACGATGCGGTACCGAAAACGAGTCGCTTATTCGGAGATTCCTTTGCTGCATGGTGGAAAAACTGCTCAAAGCATATGCGCCAAATTTGCACATATGTATAATGCATATGACACGTAAAATACAGTAGTTCTTATGCGATTAAATGCATTTAAATATGAATTAGTTACACTTGCTTCCCACCTCTCCCCCCTCCAGCAGGGCCTGTGTAGTTTCTGGATGCATCAGAAACTTCTGGAAGGCGAAGGCCGTCTGCAGGACGATCTCGTCGTCGTCCTTCTTCTCGCCCATCAGAACAATGAGCTTCTGCACCTGACGGATGGGATCAAACATCGTTTATATGTATATTGAATTCCAATATGTCACACGAAAATATATATACGTACCGGTATTTCAATTGCAATTGCGGCATGTTAGCTGTGGCGAAGTACAACAACAGCACGCTGACATTCACAAACCCGCTCGCGAATTGTACTCCAACCCAATCAGAGCACAGCGCATACTTGCCGGCTAAGAGTCCAACTGAACATCTGCTAACTTATACTGAACATTCGCAGAGTCGTCAGTCTGTGAGCTGATATGCTTATTGGTCCTCTTCATGCATATTTATAATAACGCATTGAGCCCACATTGAAGAGAAAAATAATGAGAAGGTACTGAAATATCAACATTGCATGTGAGACGCAGTGCATTGACGCACCAAACCCGCCTTCATGCTCGTTGCATTAATGGCGTGCATGGAACAATCATTGGAGAGCGAATCGTGTACTTATAGCACAAACACGGAACAAAACCGTGTAGTAACGATTGAATGAGTGCACATTGTTTTTACTCGTTTGGCACTTGCTTTTTTCCACAGGGTTCGAAACCGTGCATTTTGGCCGATTTTTAACTTGTGTGTTGGGGCATCAATATTTCATTTAAGTGGCACAGAGTGGGCGCACCAAGCCCGCCTCCACGATCATGGGCGCCGTCTGCTCGTTGCAGAGCACCGCCAGAAACATGACGACCTCCAGCAGTATGTCGTCGTCCACGGCGCCGGCCTCCAAGTAGCCGGACAGAAACTCCAGGAGGCCGTGCCTTGAGGCCAGGGAGTGGAAGTCGAATTCGGGGATGTTTAAGTTGGCCAGGCAGCCCAGCACCTCGACGAACAATTCCGCCACGACGTCGGGAGCCTGAGTGGACGAGCGAGCCTTTGATCTGTGGATTTGAATGACTAATGAAATTCTGTATGTCCAGTTTAAATGCATGTTACACAGATAAATGTGCTGGTAAAGTTGTTTGGGAAATGATATTGTGATTTTGTGAGCCCTATGTACTACTTTGTGTGGCAGCCACCTTGCGCGTGGCTTTGGCGCGAGTACTGGCGACTAATGATGCTATGGCACTGCTGAAATCCAAAATCGAACTGTCGGAGTACAGCGCCAGAGATTTCGCCAGGTGATTTGAGCACTTGTTTTGCATATGATAGTGAACAAATGCTGGATTGTTTAAATTACGATGGAATATCTTCTGAATCTTAATTTACACAATCGAAAATTAAGGTCTGCTTTATTCAACGCATTTGGGCTCTGAAATGGTAGTGACCAGCCACGATTGCGATTAGCTCTGAACACGACTTCGTAAGGCGGACATACCAGCCAGTTTACAATCCAACAGCATCTCCGTGGCATCGCCAGCGAGCAGCTACCACTTTGATACCCAGACACAAATGCAGTAGATCGCGTCTCGAAATTGACCAACGCCTAAACGTCATCAAACCGAATCTGCTTACCTTCAGGAGGTCCACAAGCTGGTCCATGTGAGGCTCGAACCGCTTCTTAATCGCTGAGTTGTCGTGTTGACAGCAGTTGCGCAGCACTTTGAAGAGCAGCTCGTCCGAGGTGTCCAGGGCTCTGCCCATGAGGTCGTCGAAACGCGAGCCCTCGCATATCATCTGGCAGCAGCATTTGCGCGTCACCGGCACGCCGCCTGCTAATCCCAATGCACTTACCAGCATATATGAACACTCACATCAACACATGCAACAACGTGCATCTTATTTTGCATCAGCATAATATGCGGAATGTATATCAACATGCGCTTCTACATATCTCATATCTGTCCATCGTATGTCAACATATACATCAAAATATATCATACCAATACTTACACTACGCCAATGGTTTGCAATAGGTGATTTTAAAGTTCGTCTGCTGATCATTCATTGTCTCAGTTGTCTTCGCGCCACTGCCCTCGCATGACAAATGTTTGTGTTTGTTCCTAAAGCTTGCTGCACACTTGCAGCTGCAAAAGCAGAGAACAGGGATTCCTGCCCTCCGCTGGCGGGGGTCCGTCGCCGCGGACGCCACTGGGAGGACGGCATTTTCGGGGCGCTCCCGCGGAGTGCATACTACCATTGTTTCTAGCCGGCGTCAATCCCATCCGTCAGATGCTGAAACGTTGAATGATGCTGAAACCTTGGGGCACCTCACCAATGATGTGATATGAATGTGGAGTTCAGTTTTTGAATCCTTTTGGAATTGCTATCCAGCCTTGCTATTCGTGACGCGAACGCGCCTTTCAGAGCGTTTCTGTTAGTGAAAGCGTGAAGAAATATCAATGCTAGCCTTGACTGCAATTTTCCCATATTCTTGTGATGTCCTTATCATAACATTTTGCATGAGTTGTCATATTCTGCTTTGCGCCACTGCCGGGCTCTGTCACCTCCGCGTTCCTCTGGTTCTGAGTGAGGTTGACCGCCAGGGCGATGAGCTCAGGGGCGCCCCTCAGGTCGTCCTCCTCCATCAGCATGCCGAAGACCTTCCGGAAGAGCGACAGAGCGAAATGCCCAGTCAGACCCACAAATTCGCGATTGCCCTGAAGAAGCAAAATCGCCCTCCCCCCCCCCCCCGGGTCCTATCGCGGGCTTTGCGCGCCCCCAGCAAGCGAGAGTACAAGGCGATGCAAAGCCCCGGAGCTTTGCAAAGGCATTTTCGGGGTTAAAAAACATCATTATTGGGAATAGGGCTACAAGTATTTGCACTTAGCGGTACTGCCGTGTACCGCTTTTTATCGAAATGGGGTTTCAACACCTTTGAGGCGCCTAAGATATTGGAATCCAAAAGAATGCTGAGCATCTAAAACGAGAAGTTCAGCACTCAGGGGGGGATTTTTGGTGTTGTTTGCGACAATTTCAGCAAACATTGTAGCACTGTAGCAATACTATTTTCATTTGCGTTGATGTTTGCACGCGTACGTGCACTGTACCTTTGGCATGGCGTCCGTGTACGTGAATGTGGATTTGTTTTCTTCATCTGTCGATACGTGGTACAGAAACCCCAAGACCACGTGGCGGAATCGGAGGTCGCCCAAGAGGGCCACGGCCTGGCGACACCAAACAAGAAGCAATCTTCAATTCAGTAAGACTAATTGTAGAAAAGTTATTCACATAAATTTGTGTTGTATTTCCATACAGCAATGTTTAATTGAGATCTTTTTTGATTCAACATGGAGACATACGTGTATAGTACATGTGGAGACATATGTGTGTACAAAACATTCATATATATTTTGTTTCAAATTGCTATTTGAATTCTTTTCGGGTTAAATGGTCCTGCATGCATGCGATTTCAGTAATCGCGTGCATGTTGCGTAAATTCCGCAACGGATTCAAATTAATTCAACTGAATGTTTGTATGTAGGTATGTGTAGGTTTGTATTGTTGTGTAATAATCAATTTGCGAGTCGCAACTGCATGGCACCTTGTCATGTCGTCATGCTGCATGGGATTGTATGCAATACTTTACTTTACTGACGCGATTCTCAGTGCAACGCACAGCGACGGTCTGTCGGCAGAAGCAAAGTGTCGCAGCAAGCAAGCAATACTTGAGCAATGTACGCATTCATTCGCAATTTCCTCGACACTCTTAGCGATTGTTCAAAGAAGAAGTATCTTGAAAGATACATTTTTATAATCAATGCATCGTCAGCGCCATTAAAAATCACCCAAAATACAGGGTCTCGTCCCATGTGAAATCGCGTAAAACAGTGCGAAATTTAGGTACACTCCATTACACCATTTTTAATCGTTTACACGGTACAAAGTTACAAGGCCGTGTGTTTTGGTCCATTTTTACGTGTGACACCATGACTATTACGCTCATTAGAGACTTCCTCTTGCCTTGGGAACCCATCCACACTGCGCTATGACGTTTCTCTGGGCGCAATCCACACGCGCCGCTTGCGTTTGTTTGCAAATTGCTGACACTTGAGGTAGTGACCTCGTTTTTTAACACCGGGGCAAACGCCATTTTTGCCATGCACATGATTGATATGGCGCAAAGCTAGCTGCAATGGCATCAATTAGGGCCGAGCAGCATCGCAGTTGGAATCGCAAAGGCGGAGCTTTCAACTGGTGTAAGTGGCGTACGTTGCACAGCCGCATTCACCGAAATTTGCTGTTGCGCAGGCACACCGCACAACTGCTGCGTGGAGTGGCCACGTCAACGGAAATGCGAGCCATAACGGTAATGTGAACAATAGAAATGCACAGTAATAGCAGTGGTAACGTGAATAATGGCGACGCGAACTACTAAGTACTGAACATTCACCTTTGGGATCAGCCCGCATTTCACCATGGCCTCCCTCAGAACGCCGTCGAAGGACAGGTTGTGCAGCAGCCTGAGCGTCGCCGCCAGCAGCAGGTCGCTGCCTCCCGGCACGAAGTTGGCCAGCTTTTCCACCACCCTGCACTCCGCCATCCTCTCCTTGTTCTCCTTGTAGATGGACAGCTTCTTTAAGAACATGACGGACAGTGTCAGCAGCTCCACGCTGCTGCGGTCCAGCATCTTAACCAGGAAGACGACGACGTTCTGTGGCGGGGCATACAAGGTAAAAAACGTACAAAAAGGGTATTTCGAAATGCGTAAAATTCGTGAAAACCGGGTCAAAGCCTGCATCGCGTTCCCTCGCTCAATCGTCACTACATGGTTTGGTCACATTTCCGCACAGTAAATGCGACGTTTAAACGATTTCTACAGGCTTTGCAATCGCGCTATATGGTACACGATTTTCAAAGCCGTGTATTTTGTTCCTAAATAGTGCTTGTTTCAAATTAGTGACAGCGCGTTTGCATTCCTTCATGTAGGGGCGTTTCTGTGCATTTGCGGGAAACACCGTTCAGTAGAAAAAAAGGACCAAATAACCCTTTTGCAAACACACACAAAACACATTTCATCAAAGTTCGGCACGCCAAGAACACAAAAATAACCCAAATCCGCAAATTTTGTACTCGTTTGAACACGCCTTATTTGGACCTTTTTTCCTATTGGTTTGGGCAAATGCACTCTGTGACTCAGCGCTTTGCAGTGCTTGTGTGCTCCGCTTTACTTTAAGGTGCGTTGTTTACTGTTTGAAACAATGAATTCTGAAGGTCCACGGCGCATTATATGCAATAATTTACATGAAGTTCGTCGAGATTTGACACGGAATTTGTACTGTAGAATGGAAATGTTCACTTATTTTTCGCGCATCAATTAAAAATGGGAAGCTCTGTCTCAGAATATTCAAGGCTACTCACCGCGGGTATGAAACGTAATGGGCATGCACTAGGGTTATGGGATGGTACTCAACCTAGATTTATTGGTGATAAAGTTGAAGGGAGTTTGCGCAAAAGCACGTTGTGCCATCTAATATCTTTTGGAAATTGCGCGAGGCTCAGTATTTTGCAGTACTTGCTTGCGCCATTTTTCCTGGAAGGCTACGACACTCTATTCAGCAAATATCACTTATGATATTGAATTTCTGATATGTCCGAATATGAATTTCTGCGAGCTTACCTTGTTTTTCATTTTGCGCTCCACCGTCACATCCTCCGCCAGATTCAGGAGGGTATAGAAACATATGTATAGTAGGCGATCTTGTCTCTGCATCATGGTGACCATTTTTTTCTGCCTAAGCGCCACACAATTTCGAGGCTTGCTATATCCAAAATAATGCAAAAGAAGCTCAGGTTCAGTCAGCAATCGATGCACTACGACAGGCTTGGGCTTCGCGTTTACGTTTCTACGTCTGTACACAGACTGTCTACGTAGACGTAAGTTTTGACACGCATAGACGGCAAAAAACAATCATGGATATTTTTGTGGCTATATTTAGGGATCTTGATGTTGCGTGATGAATTGGTATACAGTGGTCAGTCCTCCGCTCCCTCTAGCACCCGCAACACAGCGGCCACCTCTCTTTGGCAATGGCAAAGAAGTCGTTGAAACAAAAGTAGTATTCTTCCCCATCCAGCGCGTTTGGCTGCCATTTCCCGGACCCCTTGAGTCTCCATATACTGTCTTTATTACAACGGGTCAAAATTCACGTACTTATGCGCATTTACCCATAAAAACGTAAATATCACTTCTATGGGTAAATGCGAAGAAACGGTCGGTGTTTACGCTGCAAAGACCAAACCTGCACTGGTAAAATGGGTAAATTTTAATTGTCAACACACATGGCACGGTCACATTCAGGTACCGATAACACTGAACACGCACGAGCTTTGTCAATTGTAAACTGCTCGGAAGCATCAAAGAAAATGGAACTAAATTACAAAATGATCTTAATTCGCAGTCTAAGATCCATGCATCCTGTTGGAATTGCGGTAAGTCCAAATTACAGGAAAGTTGTCTCATGAATCAATCAATAGAACGTTCGAATGAGCGATGTGGAAATTGTTTTGCAATTGCAAACAAAGCAATTATAAATCGCATGAGAAATAAAGAGGGTTCAGACGTTATAAACTGATACTGCAAACTCCACCGCACCAACTTCATTCCAATATTGAATGGCATTGATGAATTTCTTCCTTGAATAGCATATGACAAAATCTCAATTTCTTTTACTTTTGCTGCAACACGCCAATCTTCGTACATTTGTTCCACAGAAATTCGGGTCCATTCTTTTCAACATCACATCGTGGTGGATATCACGACCTAATTCACGCTGTACCAGATCGATTCTGTTGCGTTGTATCACGAGATATATCGAATATCTCTGAAGCTGATTCTAGAAAAAGGCTCCGTCTACCAGGTTTCATTTGCCAAGGTTCTTTGAGTTAAAATTACAAGGAACTTGGAATGTGTGAAGGAACAATATGGGGCAGAAACGTCCAATGTGAAATGGGCAGGTGATGATTTCCAATACGATATCTGCTAACATCTTGAAATGTACGGGCTTACATTTGCATGAATGCATAGATTGTATCATTTATAGCATGAATAAATTGTCTGCAGACCTGAGGCCAGATAACTCTCTATCTACCTGTCTTAATCTCTGATCTACAGCTTCTGTGTCTACTAATATCCACGGCACTTGTTCGACCATTCCCAAAAAACGCTGTGAATCATACCAAAAAACAATGGTTACAAAAATTTATGCAGAATTAATATGTTCTTGAAGTTTCAATAGCGTTCAAGCACAACATGGGATGAGCTTGGCCAGCTTCGCACTTGTCCGTCAGCTCTGCGCCCCCGGTCTTTGCATCGACCGCCATTTGTGTGACCTGAGCGGGTGTGAGACCGCCCTCTCTCACGCGGTGCTCCGTGCGCTTCACTTCGAGGCCCACGATCTCCATCATGAGCGCGCCGACCTTCATAAAGTTCAAGGGTGGTTGAGGTTACTTGCTGGTAGTGGTGTTCGAATGTTGTTAGTTGGCCCATGGAAGAAGCAGAAGATTTTGCAACATGCAAAGTAGGCCCGAGCTAACAAATGCAAGATGAATACCTGAAGGAAAGCAACATGAGAAAGTCTCGCTGTTTGGCTGAACACATGAGCTGGGAAGCTGCAGTGTGACTTTCAGCTGTATAAATAAGCATGATCGCGAAAAATGAATGAACTATTGTTCATGCTAAACAAGTCGCATTGGCATTCGCTTAGATCATTATCCACTGAGATCCTAAATTTAGGATTTTAAGCATTTGAATGTATATCATTCAGGCATGCATTGATGCAACGCCAGCGAGAGCCAAATTTGTGTGGGCAAATGCCAGAACTCTCAAAAAACATTCTCTCTTTTAAAATCTCCGTAATTTGCAGCGCTGTATACTACTTGATTGTACCATTTTTGACCTAAAATTGTTATTTGGTCAAAAACATTTGCAGGAAAGAAAAAGCAATCCTAAGAACTGCAGATGCATCACCCACTACAAGAAGAGGAAGGAGATTTCCTACGTTTGGTGCTTCGACAACAAAGTGCATGTCAACGCCGTGGTACGTCCAACCATATTTAGGACAGCCACAGGAATGCAAGATGGCCACAATCAGGGCCGCGCATGTCTCCCCCCCATACCGAGGGGAGCAGCCCCACAAACTCACAAAGCACAGTCTCCATGCAAGCTATCCACAAACCCATAAATCAGTAGAATCCAGGCGACCGCCCTCCCCGAAAATCTGGGAGGCCCCACCCCCCCGCGTCCTTTCACTCACACTCTCGAAGCAACCTGAGCAGACTCAACTTGGCCTATGATACACTTGGCCTTTTCGTTTTCCGTTTGTGTTTTTTTCCCTTCCCAACCGAAAACATCGGAACTTGGCCAACCGCCACATTCTCACCACATTCTCAGAACCAACATCCCCAGCAGCCGCTCCCTCTCCTGTGTAATCCCTCTGCATTCGCACACTGTCTATCCCTTCGAGAAATCGCCCCCGCACACTGGGCAGGGCCACGAATACAGGTCTCAGGGGACGCTGAAACACCCCAAGTGACAATGTGGCTTGAGGCAGTGCGCTGCGCAGGGCACCACCTACTCGTCATTCAAAAGAATTCAAGAGATGTATATAAGCAACCACCAGCGGATCTGCGCCCGACACTGAATGAAGGTCTTGTCACCTTGTGCTCCTTGACGACGTCGTGGAACTGCGAGTAGTGGCTGATGGCGAAAAAGACACTGCACAGGTGGATGCATATGTCCATGCTGCGTCGGCCGTCGTCCCGCAGCACCCGGGCCAGGGTGCCCATCAGCGTCTCGTGGAGCAGCAGGGGCTGAAGGGGGAAACGAAGGCAGAAGCCTTTGTCAGCATCACTAAGCAGTATAATACATTGACATATTAGTACATAAATGCTGAAAAGCACAATACAAAGAACAACACTGTCATGAATCATCATCAAAATGACCCTGTAGAATACGCCATTTTTGCCATGGCAGATGTGACGTCAACTGCAATGAATTGGCACTTTCTTAGTACTTTTGACTCTTCTCCAATCAGTTTGACGGGGCCGCTTGGTGTCAAAATGGCATCGCAGCTGGTATCGCCAAAATGCGGCTTCCTTTCAGTGGTATTGACAGCTAATGTGGCTGTTTTATCTTTATGAAGATAAAGTAGTCAATGCGCATTATTACAAATCAACTACAAGCAAAATGCGCAACAATGGCGAGAGTGTAAGTATACAATGTATCGTGAGAACAAAAGCGGCGGACAGAATAAAGCCACAAAGGAATGAATTCAGGGCAGGTTGGGTGCACTGCAAGGTAAGTATTTCAGCCGCGGCATCTGCACTGTGATTTTGAGCGGCCTTTTGTATGCAAACCATTTGGCATTATTCCCATAGGTACTAGGAAAAAAGGGCCAAATAACACTTTTGCGAACACGCATAAAACATATTTCATCAAAGTTCTGCATGATAAGGACACAAAAATAACACAAACCTGTAAATTTTGTACGCGTTTGAACACGTGTTATTTGTCCCTTTTCTTCCTAGTGAGGGAAGCGTTCAACAGTGCGGGCACCGGAAATCCGCATATAGATGTTGTGTATAGAGACGGCGTGATTGGTTGTTGTATGGTCTATTCTCATTCCTATG